TACAATGCACAGGCAGCCCTCCTCTGCGAGGTATCCAACCCAAAGTGTCAGTAGTGCCGATGATGAGAAACCCCGCCTCAGCTTACAGCCGTGAAAAGCACCCTGTTGTCTTCAGGAAGTGGCATTTATTTGGCCTTGAGGAATGAATGAAGCTTGATATTGTGATGGGAGAGAAGAACCATCTAACCTAGGAGACCTCTGTATCGTTAACTTATTTATTTATGTGCCTGTATCCAGACTCCCATATTAGACAAAACAATAAGAGAATAGGAGCACATTATTTCTTAGCATATATAGGGCTTTGTACTCAATAATTGTTGAGCAGAAAACTAAAAATCATTTTTAACTTTTGCTTTATTCTTCTTTCAGCTACCCATTTGATGTAACTCGTAGGCGAATGCAATTAGGAACTGTTCTTCCAGAATTTGAAAAGTGCCTGTAAGTTCTCCATTTGTCATTGTTTCTTTTCTTTAGGAAATGTAATGTTTAAAGTAAGTAGTGAGGTAGGATTGTGTCTCACCAGTAGTCTAGAACTCCCATTTTATCTCCCATAGTTTAACCTGATTACCTTGTAAGATTTAAAAATATATATATTTTTTATTGATTTCAGAGAGGAAGGGAGAGGGAGAGACAGAAATATTAATCACCAGAGAGAATCATTGGTGTATAATTTAAAATTTTCTGGTAGCCACATTAAAACGTGTATAAAAATAAACATGAAATTAAAAAATATTTCACCAAAACCGGTTTGGCTCAGTGGATAGTGTCGGCCTGCGGACTGAAGGGTCCCAGGTTCGATTCTGGTCAAGGGCGTGTACCTTGGTTGCAGGCACATCCCCAGTAGGAGGTGTGCAGGAGGCAGCTGGTCGATGTTTCTCTCTCATCGATGTTTCTAACTCTCTATCCCTCTCCCTTCCTCTCTGTAAAAAATCAATAAAAATATTTAAAAAAATATTTCCATTTAATTTAAAATATAACTTCAATATTGCAGTATTTTATATCCCTTTTAAAAATATGTTTTTATTGATTTTAGAGAGAGAGAAAGGGGGCTGGAGAGAGAAAAACATCTATATACGAGCAAGATATAGATCAGCTGCTTCTAGTGGGGATTGAGCCCACAACCCAGGCATTCGCCCTGACTGGGAATTGGACCAGTAACCTCATGGCACATGGGTCGACACTCAACCACTGAGCCACACCGGCTGGGCAATATATCCCTTTCTTATTCTAAGCATTTTATTTTTATTTTTTTAAAATATATTTCTTTATTGATTTCAGAGAGGAAGGGAGAGATGGAAACATCAATGATGAGAGAGAATCATTGATTGGCTGCCTCCTGCACGCCCCCTACTGGGGATCGAGCCCGCAGCCCAGGCATGTGCCCTTGGCCGGAATTGAACCTGGGACCCCTCAGTCTGCAGGCCAACGCTCTATCCACTGAGCCAAGTTGGCTAGGGCTATTCTAAGCGTTTTAAAGCCAGAGTGTATTTAATATTCATAGTACATCTCAATTTGGATTTGCCACATTTAAAGTCAGGTGGCTACCATTGTTGCACAGCTCAGCTCTAGAATTTTCTATAAATATTTAGAATCGTTCTATTTGATTGGTGATGTGTTATCCCTCAGGAAGAGCAGAATGTTTGTTCAATGGCCTTTGTTGATCCAAAAGATTTTTTGAAGATTTGAAAAGTAAAGGCAGCCCAGCCGGCGTGGCTGGGTGGTTGAACATTGACCTATGAACTAGGAGGTCACGGTTCGATTCCTGGTCAGGGCATATGCCCGGGTTTCGGGTTTGATCCCTAGTGTGGGGCATGCAGGAGGCAGCCGATCAATGATTATCTCTCATCATTGATGTTTCTAACTCTCTCCCTCTCCCTTCCTTTCTGAAAGCAATCGAGAAAATTATGAAAAAAGAAAAAGATTTTCCTTTAAAAAAAGAAAAAAAAGAAAAGGCAAAGAGCCCCAAACGTTTGTTTGAAAGGAAAAAAACACCATTTGAACAAGAAAGTCTTTATTGTCCTGGCCAGTTTGGCTCAGTGGATAGAGCATCAGCCTGCGGACTGAAGGGATCCGGGTTTGATTTCAGTCAAGGGTGCATGCCCGGGTTGTGGGCTCGATCCCCAGTAGGGGGTGTGCAGGAGGCAGCCAATCAGTGATTCTCTCTCATCATTGATGTTTCTATCTCTTTCTCTCCCTCTCCCTTCCTCTCTGACATCAATAAAAATATATTTAAAAACATAAAAATATTTAAGAAATTAAAAAGACTACATCAGTATTTCAAATATTATTATGGAATAGTGTTGCCAGTAAATGTCATAGACACAGACAAACAAAATATATGTTATTAATGAGCCTGGCAATTCTATGCATAGTGCTTGTACGAGTTTGGAATTAATTGCAGTTTTATTGTGAATTTTTACCTTGTTTTAGCACTTGTGTTCCAAAACCTATTAAAGATGTCATTTTGGCTTCTTTTTAAAATGCTATTATGGATCTTAAAATTGTCCCTGCATGAGTGGGCCTACAGGTGTCATCTTTTAACTGTTGTCTTTCAGTACCATGCGGGAGACTATGAAATATGTCTATGGACACCATGGAATTCGGAGAGGATTATATCGTGGCTTATCTCTGAACTACATTCGCTGCATTCCCTCTCAAGCAGTGGCTTTTACAACATATGAACTCATGAAGCAGTTTTTTCACCTCAACTGAAGAAAAAATCGTGATTTCCTCTCCTTAGTAAATTCTCAGAGGGAGAAATAAAATGTTAGTTTAATCTGGGGGAGAACATTACTTGAAGAGGGACTTTACCCTCTCACAGGAACCACTGGTATTTTAGTACTTGATTTTTTTACTCATTACAAATCAAAAGTGCTTACTATGCCTTTTGATGCCAAAAGTTACAGCACAGAACATTGAAAAAATTTCCTAAACTGATGCTGGCTAATCAGTTAGGTTATTTGAAAGTGTTATTTGTAAGTAGAACTAACTTAAAATGGGACTCAAGAGGTTGTCATTAGCTGTATCATGCTGTTCCAAGCTTTTCATTGTAATCATGATTTTCAAAGACTCTAACATTGTTTATTATTATTACAACCAACAGGCTTTGCAGTAGAATAATGAAAACTGAACTTTTAAGTTTTATAATAAGCTGTAGCTTAGAAGCCGGCCTTGGAATATCATTCTTATTATTTCTCTTCTTATAATTCTGCTCCACTGGATAAAAGGACAAATTTTTTTCTCTTCACTTTTTCAAAAAGCAAACATTGTATTTAAAAAGTAGCCATGTAGAGACTCAACAAGTGAAGAATTTTTCAGGTATTGCTGAAATGTTATTACCAGATACTATGACTGATTTAAATATTTTTAAAAGTCAGTGTATTTCCCAAAGGTAGTAATAGTAAATACTGATTATCTGCTCTCAAAACAGATTAGCATTATACTAGTAGATTTGTTTTGTTAGATGATTTAGTGTATACTAGAAAATTTATTTCAGTGCACTATGAAATATCCATTAATATAGATGTGAATGTTGAAGACTGTTTCTAAAATATTGTCATGATACATCAACTAGTTCTTCCATGTAAAATAGTTTTAGTGTAATATAAACTTAAGTAGAAATATAAAAATCATTTGAATTGCTATTCTTTATGTTAAAATGGTTTAAAATGTAAGAATTCCATTTATTGTGTTTAGAGTACTTTTTATGTTTTATTATAAGCATGATAGAAATGGGAGGGGAACAGTTACAGTGTTGTCCTCAGAAATAGTGATTTGTAGAATTGATGTGATTTTTAAGACATTAGAAAACTAAGTTGAAAGTGTTATTTCTGCTTCAATTTTTACTTTTGCATAAAAGATTTCTTGTCACACCTTGGTAAAATTTAGATGAACTGGTTTCATTTTCAAAGTGTTTATTTTAAAATAAATATGTATCTTTATATGATTTATAAGTATACCTGCAGGTATAAATACATGTGTTCCTAAAACCATTTTGTATATTTTCATTTTTGAATTACACTGTAGCTAAATATTGTTATCAAATCTCAAGATAATTTAAATATATAAAATAAGTATCTCAGCTATGTTATCAATAAAAAGGATTGCAGGTATTTTTTAAACAAAAATTTGCATTCTGTGTCTTTTTTTTTTTTTCCAGATGAACTGGTTTCATTTTCAAAGTGTTTATTTTAAAGTAAATATGTATCTTTATATGATTTATAAGTATACCTGCAGGTATAAATACATGTGTTCCTAAAACCATTTTGTATATTTTCATTTTTGAATTACACTGTAGCTAAATATTGTTATCAAATCTCAAGATAATTTAAATATATAAAATAAGTATCTCAGCTATGTTATCAATAAAAAGGATTGCAGGTATTTTTTAAACAAAAATTTGCATTCTGTGTCTTTTTTTTTTCCATTGATCTTAGAGAGGGAGGAAGGGAGACAGAGAAAAACATTGATGTGAGAGAGACATTGATTGGCTGTCTCCCCACTCACCCCGCCGGGGATGAACCCTGAACCTGGGCATGTGCCCTAACTGGGAATTGAACCCATGGCCTTCCAGTGCACTGGGGGTAGGGTGGCCTGTCTAGACAGAAGCGGGCGCATATAGTTTGGGCCAGATTTATGAAGCCGCTGTTTTCCAAAGCCGCAGGAAGAGAGCAAAGCCGCCTTCCCCCAGGGCTCTGCGGTCCAGGTGCGCCTCGTGGAAACGCCGGCGCT